TAATTAAGCAGCAGGGCTTGTTAGGTCATCTTAATTATGCATGCTAAATTCTGACTTGAGGCACAGAAAATTGTGAAGATTAATAGTTGAAGAGCAAAAGAATTCTGAACTCATAACACTTTATTTATGCTCTATTTTGCTTGGTGTGAATCATGGTTGTCATATATAAATGTGGAAGTGTATTTATGCTCAGGGTTTTGTGGGTTTTTTCTTCTTTCTGTGTAATACTTGTACAGACTCAATAAGTGAAGCATACCAAAATAAAGTTTTTTTAAAATAGTATGTTGCCCGTCTGTTTTCCAGAATATTTTTCTACTTATACAGTACAGATGCCAATATTGTTAGAACTTAAAAATATTGTCATAATAATTAAGCATAATTTTTCCCTTTTGCAGGAAATTTCAGAATTGATTTTTTACTCCAGGCTTAAATAAGAATGAACCCCTGCAAATCTAAACTTTTTAAGAAAAAATAGACAGCTGAAGTTACACTAACTAAATATTGTTATTTCATTATGGTATGTTTGGGGTTTTTATTAACTTATAAAAGTTATCATAATCAGAAGAAATCATAAACTTGTTGAAAAATAGTGTGTTTTTATTCATGCCAAGTCATTCTGTTCAAGGGGTTGCTAAGTACCCATCACTTTCAAATTTCAGAATTCAGTGTAAAGTTGGTGGAAAATACCAGTAATAAGTATATCATATACCAGAGAATGGTTTAAAGAGCTTTAATCTAGTTAGAAATTGGTTAATACTGGGATAACACAAGGTTCAAATGCTAACAACCCACCCTGCCCAGAGTCTAACTTTCTAAAAGTGCTTTTTGAACTGCTAACAAGTAAGAATAGGTGATGAGAAACAAGGAAATGCATGAATGAATCAATGTTTGCCCATTTCATTTTGGCACAGTAGTCATTCTGGATTTTACTCAGAAAAATGTAAGTCAAATTTAAAAAAAACCTCGCTTATATGCATTGCTGAATTAAGTCAGAAAGTGCAGGATCAAATGAGAATTAATTTTAAAGTTTTCCTAGGCTGAAAAAAACCTCCCAGATTTGGATTTAAAATGGACAAAAATGCATTTTTTGTTTCCTTTGGCTTTTTCCACTCAAGTAACAAGAAGAAACAAGAAGACAAGAAATAGATACTGAAATGTTAGATACAGTTAATTCCACTAGCAAGAAAGGTAAGGTATTGCAGTTTGATCTTTGATTCTTCGTTTCTTCCGCAATTTTCTAAAGGTATGGTTTATTACCTCTGGCAAAATTGTTACTGTATAAATTCCTGTAATTTTATTATAAGAAACAACAGCCACGGCATGTCCCATTTTCATATGATGTTTACTTTTATAGGCACTATATTTTCCTTATTCCTGGTTAGTAAGAGTATGATGATACAAAAAAAAAATGGTCAAAGTAAATACAAGACTGCTGAGAATACTTAAAATTAAAAGGAGATTACAAATTTAAGAAATAAATATAACTATTTAAGTAGCTCAATAAACTATACCATGTGTGCACATGCACACCTACATGAGTGTGTGACAGATAAAAGGATACAAATGCACTAGAATAGCAATACATTTTGATAATTATTTCTACATTATGAGGATAAGTATCATTTTGATTATCCTCAGACATTAAGAAATATGAAAGAACCATCAAATGCACAAATTAGGTCTGTAAGTATGTAAATGACGACAGAAAAATGTCTTCAATCAGAGTAGACCAGTGGGTCTTCCACTTCTATGTATCATATTAAAAGTACATTCACATTTTACTTTAATATAAATTAGTTTAGCCCTTAAAAGAAATAATTTTTATAAACATTTACACGAGCACTTTTATCTCAAGAAGACAGCGCAAAGTGTGAATAGTTTGAAAAAATACGGCAAGCAATTTTCAACATTTCTACAGATTTTGTGGAGCCACAGAAAAAACAAAGTCACTTGTACTGTAGTTACTCTCCTATATCATAGAATGCATTTATTTTCTTTGCTGTACCAATAAGTAAACATTTATTACTAGAATTATTCAATATGGTAGCACTGATAGTCTAACTTTTTTTTCCAAAATCCATACAAAGAAATCCTTAAGAAATCCTGAGAGTGAAATGTGACTGAAAATTTGATTTTGATCACTTTTCCTCTCAGGTGTGCTAAACCATCACCTTTTTCAGAGCTGTTCTGAGGAACAGCTTAGAAACAAAGGAAAAACTATCATAATTGAGCTCAATAGGATTCAGCAAATTTTATATCAACTTTTTATTCCATTAGGATACTAAAAGGTAAAATAATTAGGAGGAAAATTGTATACTGGTTAGAGAGTTATACAAGCCTACAGAAAGCAACAATTAATACCGGGAACTCTATGAATCATAAATAAGAAAAAGCAATGTCAGAATTACTTTGATGGTTCTGTCATAAGGGCAAAGTCAACATGGTGAAAAAATCTGGGGTAGAAGTACCTTACACAAACACCACTGGAGCTTAAAAACTTTGCAATTCGTAACTGCCTGTTTTTACACCACCAGAAAAGAGTTAATCTTCACTGAGGTCTCTAAATGCTTTAGATCAACTTCAGATTTTTATTTGGAACAACTTTTAGGTGTTTTAAACCTGATTAAATGGCATTTAGCTCTGTGGTTCAAGCTGAATGCACTCCCATTAAGCAGTCTTCTTGCTAATTTTTTCTGATTAAGCTGTAGCCATTATAAACCAGTGAAAATAAATCACATTTCCAGTCCAGCCCTGTCCAGATCAGTTAGAGTACTCCATAGTACCAATATCTGTGAAGAGTCTTTGATTTCCTAGTCCATTTTTGACTTTAAATATACATGAACAACAGTGACATGAAAGTCAGATTTTACACACTTAACTGATTTTACAACTTCCCTGGTAATAAGTCAATAAAACGGTTTATTTTATTCTGAGCACAGAAAGAACATTGCGCAATGACATCATGATTTGACTTTCCCTCACACTGTCCAAATGGACACTCTGTGGATGAGTTTTTGTATTTAAGGACCAGATCAAAAAATCTCTGTAAACTCGTAATGTTCGCCAAGATTATTAGCCCTTTAAATATAATTTAAATACTATCTGCATCTCTTAGGTATTTAAAATCCAGATAACCAAAGCTCTTTTAAATGCTTAATCCACAAAGAGAATTACCATAAAATATTCATCACATTTTGTATGAGCATTTTGTTCCACTTAGAGCAGAGAGGGCTCTTATGGGTCCAGAAGAGAAGCCACTATGTTTTTCATGCACTTTTTTATACTTTTCTATCCCGAGGCAAAGTGATGATGTAAAGTACAATTCTTACAGAATCATATAATAGCAATTATGGGGTTCTGCCTCACAACAGAAGATTTTCTGAGAAAAGCACCTTCTTTACAGTGCCACAGGAGATGAAAAACATGCAACTGGCCCACAGAACTCTATTCCAATATTTATTATTCCATTATTTTTCACCATGGTCCTATGTTCTTATAAAATAACTATCACTACTGATCTTGGTAAATATCCAAAGGTCTGAGATCAGTTACATCTTTGATCAGTACATAAAATATATAACTACAATGAATGAGAAGTAGTGATGCAAATTTTAAACTCAAAAAAAAAAAAAAAAAAACCTGAAAGTATTAATGCAAACAAGGCAGCATGAAACAATGACTTAGAGCAATAAGTAGCAGCTATATATAAACCAGATGCAGGCTTCACACAACTTTCAGATTTTGGGGTGCTCAATTGTTTGTTTGGAATTATTTAGAGAAATGAACACTTTAACTTTTAAACTATCGTGAAGCAATCTGTAAAGTGCAGTGCAAGGAAATTAGTAAACAAATTAAATTTAGAATGTTGCAAATCCTTATGTTCAAGACATTATATACAGTAAGTACATTAAAAAAAGGATTTTTCCCTAAAAAGGATAACTTTCTAGAAAACAATTAAACTAACTTGTTGAAATATTGATTGCAATTTAGCACCTAATAAGATCATTAAACCTTATCAGTAGAAAAAAAAAAGTTGATTAGATGTGTTATGTGGAATAATTAACACAATCTAGCACCTGATGTATTACTAAGATACCTGTCTTCAAGAAATAGAATTTTCTATTTTTCAAATTGAAGATGAAATGCCTAAAAAAAAAAAAAAGAAAAAACCAAAAAAACCACCTAACAATGACAACAACAACAAATTCCCAAAAAAGCCAAATAACAAAGCCAAACAAAACCCAGCTACCTAAATTACTAAGGGGTCAAAAAGTGGAAAATCTTTCAACACAGAAATTTGAAGACTAAAGCAGACCTAATGTAGGATATCTTTTAAACTAATTTCCTTCCTGACATTATAATTCAAGACTGAATTCCAACTAACGAGCAGAAACTCACCAAAACTTAGCAATGAAAGTTTGTTTGCAGGAATATAGCTGAGATTTATATGAACTGAAGTGAGGCCAAACACTAGTGGCAAAATGGAAGGGAAAAAATGAAAATAAACAACCAGATTAATTAATCAGTTGAATCTGAAAGCAGAGAAAGTACAAGAGAAAGTAATGATGTCCTGTTCATAATATTAATAAAATATTTTAAAACAAGATTTGTGTAAATATTAGAAAGTACACATTATTAATGAATTAATCTTAAATGAATAACACAGAAAATGTAGAGAAAGAGACAATTTTCATTCACTTGATTTTTTTCCCATAAAAAAATTTCACCAGCAAATTTGGGAAATTAGGTGAATTTGACATTTAGAATATGGCATTATAATTTGAAAAAAATACAGTACATGTAATTTTAAAAATAAAGTTAATATAGCCATGTATTCAATCGGCAAAATATTAACAGAAACATCACAGTTACTCTCTGACTCATGTTTATAATAATATTTGGGTACATACCCCTAAACACTTTTAATGACAAAAAGTTATATTTTATTTTATTAGCTTCGCAAACATATAAAAAAAGGAACCAAATACTGGTATTCATACCGTCATAAATCCATCCAGCAAACCTGAATCAGGCTTTGGTGGTGCTTGCAAGCGCTCCATAGACCACTTCTCAATGATAGATGACACCTGGGTGTTTTCTGTGTTTAGAATTCTGAATCCAGTCATATTTACACCACTGTACCGATAGGGTTCCACATCCAAGGCAAACAGGTCCTGAAAAAGTCACCATTGTATAAATTCTTTAATAAACTGCAATTGCTATTTCAATTGTTGGACCATCTCCCCAGATGAGAGCATGGTAATTTTTCAGTGCCATTTATGCTAGGAAGTGTGTTCTGCTTGTCTGGGGCCTGTGTCTGTGAACAAGCCACGTGGCTACCCTTATGGTGGGAGTAATCTCATTCTCAGAGGAAGAAAACCAGACTTTCAGGAAATGTTAATCCAATTACAGAACTGTATCTACTTAGCCTACCTTCTAGGTAGGCTAAAATACTACAGTAATTAATATCTAGAATTTTTCAATTTCTATATATTAATATTAATAGCTAGTTCTTGAACTTAACAGAAATTTTCAAAACCATCAAATAACAAAATAAACTGGACAAAAGTTTCCTTGAGCTTTCACTCTCGGTGAAACTTAAAAATGTTAATCTTAGGAGGATAAAATGGTGGAGGAGAGTAGGAAGGGTGTGGGGGTGGTGGTGAGCAGGGACAAGGAGAAACGTACATGGCTTTAAATATAATCAAAAGTATTTTTTCACTGTCATCAACATACTTCCAAATATGCACATTTCTTTGCTTAGGAATTCATCTTTTCAAAAATAGCTCTTGCCAATTTATATGTTTTCAGTATATCTGTATATGTGTCTGTACAGTTAGCCCTCAAATATACACAGGGGGAAATATAATTAATAAAAAGTAAACCAATTCATATTTTACCTCAAGAAAGTAAATTCAAGGTTATACTAGTGTTTTGATCAAATCCTAAGAAGCAATGTAGAAACAGTACTAGATTTCAGGAAACTTAGGTTTAAGATCAAGTTTTGACTGGGGGAAAAAAAGATGTAATCAAGGTTATATATAATCTATTATTTCCCTATAACAGAATTTTAATTTATTGAACATAGAAATTTTCCCCATAATTCATAGGTATTCATTAATCTAATTTTTAATTTAATTTTTGTTGTCAGTTAGCTTTGAGTGTAACACTGAATCCATTTTGTTTACTGGCTAGAGCTGAAGAAGATTAAATATTGTACTACAGAAAACCCAAATATAACACCCATTGTTAACATCACAAAGCCCATAAAAAAATCAACCAGTTATCAATCACTACCCATTTTTAATTCTGTAGCTAGTAATATGATTTACTTTCCTATTCACAATATTTAAAATATGCAGGTTTTAAAATTCATTTATAATAACTTCACATCCTCTTTGCAAAGAAATAAAACATTTTATTGCAAAGGAAACATTGGACAAAACTAGAACTGCATTACATATTTCTTTTAAAAAAATTCTCAGTTTTTACTGTGCAAGAAGTCAGAACCTTGAATGCAATTTTTTAATCCAAACACATTCATGTTTACACTGGAATGTAATAAATATACACAATATTATTATGCATTTATTACAAATGCACACAGGTCAGTGCATTAATGAGCCAGTGCATTACATCCTGAATCAATGAAGAGGAGATTACACAGAAGACTATTATAAACACTGTGACCGGAAAATTTATTTGACAGGACTTTCACCATGTCAGGTAAGAAGCAATTAATATATAAAAACAACTAAATTCTGATGCTGATTCCAGAGCTGTATTGCAAAATCAAAATCTCTGATATGTTTATGCACAGTAAATTATCTCTTGATAATTCCAAGTCAATATCCTACTCTTGTCTCCGCAGAAAATATAACGTTTTCATAAGTAAATAAGAATGACAGAAAATTCTGATTTTTAAATAGAGCTTTAAGAGTAAAAATTCAATGCCAAAGGACAGCACAATACTCAAAGAAACAATTTCACCTATGGCAAAAAATTTTAAAAATAAGAAAAAGCCTTCAACTCATCTATAATCCATTTTTATGGTGGGAAATCTATTTAGTGAGGAAAATTCTATCACATGAAATCCTAAATCTGTAAGTGACAAAACAATTTACCCTTCTAAAATAAGACAGGTATTTGTTCTGGGTGTGCCTTTTGAACTTCACAAGTCATTTTGCTTTCTATCCAACCAAAGTTAATACTTTACATGAACTTCTGTTTTGTGATTCTGAGGTGAACTCCTACCCTACCCCATAGGATTCATTTTTATAAGAGCTTAAACATGTATGTGACTTTAAACATGGGTCAGTTCAAGCATGGTTTTGCCAAGGCACATCTGTCTCACATTTGTCTCATGCTTTTCTTTTAAAAAACATCATGAACTGCAATCTAATTAGACAAAATTGAATGCAAATTCAAGACAGACAAATGTGCACAACTCTGGAGACTGTGGTCTCTAGAATAATATTTTACCAACTTTTAAACTGTTTCTTAGTTAGGCTGTGGTGAGCAGGAAAAAGGTCTTCACATACATGTTCCTTTTGTAAGAGCATTGACATTTTAAATATTCATTTATTTCAAATGATAGATCCAAGAATGATCAAATTCCTTCTAAGTTACATTTACAGTGGACACCAAAGAATATTGCATAATTCATGCGCCTAAAAAGCTCATATGAATTGTTAAATAAAATGCTGCTCAGATTCACACCAAATTATTCATGAATCATATGACAGAGAAGAACTACCTTGTAAAATGTTAAATTAAAAATATGGAATATATGAGTAAATTTTAAAATGTCTCAATCTTCACATACAAACAGCTAAAAGACAAAAAGGACAAAATGCATAAAACAAACAATGAATTATGAATTATACATTTAACCCTCCTTGATAGTTAAAAGCTGCAGTGCTACAGCCAGATGGTTTTTTCAGGTCTACCAGTTTTCATGGCACACTGTTGAACAATAATTAAACCATCCTGTTGAGTTTTCTCTGAAAGTAAGAAAACTCAGCAAAGAAATATCTTGCACTTACACCCCATTCCAGAGAGACCTTGTCCACTTTGTTAAGTAAGATAATTAGGAAAGTAATGTCTTTGTTCAATGTCATCACTATGTTTTCACAAGCCACTTACCAGTGTGGTAAAGATATAGTGATAGTATTCTGTCATCATCCCCATAGCTAAAGCCTTGAAAAAAAAATAAACAAAAGATTAATGTTTTTGAGGCCACATAATACATTTTTATCACACTCACATGGCAAATGAAACACTGCAAAAGAACACTAGTAAGATGAGTCTATAGGGTTGGAATTATGCTAAAATTAGGTCAAGCAAGCCATTTCTTAGCAGTTAGAGAAGATTACTGACTATTAAAGGAATTTATGAACCAGATCTTCTGATAGAAAGAATATTATTAGACTGTTTAGTGCAGTAAATGTGAAAGAGACTTGTATTTTTACATAATAATGGATACATTAAGTTACAACACATAATTTGAGTCGACAATATTTTCATTCATTATTGAACCTTTCCTTTAAAATGAATTACCTAATAGGAATTTTTTTCTATTTTGATGAACAATACCATGCATTTAAAAGAACGACCCAAGCTTACATGATACATGTGCATATTTTTCCAACCATGGAAGAAAATTCTTTTGAGTTAAATTTTGAACAGCAAGAGAGATACTACTTAAATAAAAATGAACAAATATTCATAGAATCACTTTATAAATTCAGGTATCTCTCAAGTACCTTCATCGCTTTTGCTATCTATGTAATATGAAGTAGTTTTTGATAACCTGTGCATTTTAAGAGTTCATGCTATCCTCCCAACTGCATAAAAAAATATTTGTAGATAAAAAAATACATTTCATTACATTTATTCATTAAGGGCATTTTCTCTGGGAAAGCATTTATCTTTATGTTCTGCACAAAAGTTGTCTTAGTATTTTCTTCCTTTCCAGGAACTATCAAAAGAATTCTTTGCCAAGTTGCTACCAGATGGACTCCTTAAAGACACTGAAGGCCACAACTCTACTACTGTGACAATACCAGAATTTGTATTAGAAAGAATTGTCAGCACTCTGAAGGCCGTGGGAGCCTTTTTACTTGTGACATTGTCTGAAAAATGATGAAATTAATAGTCTATATGATCTTTTCAAAAGAAAAAAGTCTAAAACTAATCCAACTATTAGTTGTAAATCAGATTTTATAATATTTTGAAATATTTTAAACAAGATTTTGAGAAAAACAACACTATTTTTAAAAAAAATGCCTATACTTCTATTATTACAATTCTACAACAGTACTTAGAACTAAAGTATAGTGTTCCAATAGCAATTAAATTCTCAGAGGAAAACCACATTCCCATAAGAAATATTGCAGCTTTGTTAGGAACTCTACAGCTACAAACATTCCTAGCTTTTATAATAATTTTTTTTAAATAAAACCACAGCTTCTTCCTCTATGTGTAACACATTTGTGGTCACCTATATCATAGCTTCTTCTAATCAAATCTTTCATACTCCAAAGGATCCCTACACAATATCCTATGCATGTTCCTTATTCTGCTATGTGATGATGCTGTCTCTTTCCAGGTCTTCCTGCTTTCACCTTCTCACTTCTTTTCCCTCTTCCAACATTGTAATTTCTCTGTTCTCATTATTACAGTGCTTCCCTAACCTTTTAAATTATGTATGGTTTCCCTGGTTGCCTGGTGATGTAGATAACAATGAGATTCACCTTAATTTAAGTATGTTTGTCTGATTGATGGGATCTTTTTTTTTTTACTTTTCATTATGAATTTTTGGTCAGCAAAATGTAGTTGCTGTTTCACTAGGTTCTCAAGGTACTTTGTTTTCTTTATTTTCAACTTGTGTCCCACCAGCTTCACTGTTAATTTTTCTAGTCATCCTCTAAAAGTGAAACTCCTTGTTATGTCTCCCAAGATTTATCCCTCCATTACCAGGAAAAAAAATCTGAGTAGTCAATAATTCAGAAATGGATATATAAAGATTTTTTTTCAATAATCACTTATAAATGCTATATTTGGAATATTAACAAGAATTAATAAATATATTCTCAACACCCCTTGTATCAATCAACAGCAAGTGCTCACATTCAGCTTCAAAACTACAAATTTTGGGTGTATTTGAAGTATTGCAGTATAGGACCTGAATGGAAAAGTAAAAATCTACAGAATCTGTATAAAGATCTAAACACTCATAAAAGAATTTTTTCTGTACCTTCCCTCTGTAATCTTTAGGATGAGCAGTGTGTTCTGATGAAACAGTTCACTGTTTGATTTAAAGAGGCTTAATTCGCACTCTTAGGTCCTGGGACATGATTAAAGGTACAATGGTTTTAATTTTGTTCCCATTTCCCTCTATTTATACATTTTTCACAATGTTGCATACTGTGAATTAAAAGGGTTTTTTCACCTAAAAATTTCTAGGTACTGTATAACTAATGTATCTCAATGGAGTTATTGTTAGTATTGCAGCTCCATATTGCCATCAACACATTTCCCATTTGCATTTTTTAGATTTTAAATATTTAAAATCATTAAATGTACATTCAATGATTTGGTCTAAACAACTAGAATAACTAGGCTGGCTTATGTTTAGAAAAAAAACACTAGCAGAGGTTTAAAATTACTAGGACCTAATAAAAGTTTTTTTCAATCAATGAACAATAAAGAAAAGAAATAATATAACACATGTAGGCTTACTAGCAATTTTAATTATACCCACAATAATACCTGTAAGTACCTCTAATGAGACTCATATTTCCAACTCTTAAATACATTCTGTTTTCAATTTAGACCCTACAGTTTTCTAGCAAACATGACATAAACTTGAATTAAAGTCACTAAAAGCTACGTATTGGAAGTGTAGAATACTGTTTCAGTTTAGGTATTCCTCCCATCCTCTTTATTGGAACTCATAGCTTAATTAAAAAACTATGGGGAAGATTGTCTCTGAGCCAGTTAAATATTTGGAATTCTGCCGTCTCACCTACTCATTTCATCTGCACACAATATTTTCAAAGCATCAACCCAAATGTACTTGGGTGTTTTGCAGTTCTGTTAATTCTGTCCTCTCAATGGCAGACATTAATGAGGTCTATTGCAACATACTGTTCAGATATCACTATCTGATTAGGAATACACATCCTAGAGGCCTCAAATAAAACCAAATATAAAAATAAATATATATATATACATACATAAACATTTGATGTATAAAATAACACTAATCAAACATTTAAAACCATGCTTTAAGCATCAATTCTCCAAAGTACCAGTTCTTCATAGCTGAAAGGTTAATATGTCTTCACATTCCTCCTGAACATAAATTATTTAAACTCTTTCATTATAAAAGCTTAATTAAAGCACCTACCTTTTGTGTCACCAATAAAATTGCCTCTGAAATCCTTGGCTGATTTTCAGTAAGGCCTGAATTAAACTGACATACAATTTCCCTGCTTGTTAAATACCATTACGCCTAGATAATACTTTTATTTATTAGGGATGAAAAAGATTAAGACATCTAAAGCAGAATGAAAATTACCTGTTTCAAGATGCCTGCTGCCATTTCATGGCTACAGTCAAAGATTACATGGAATTCTTTGCCTCTTTTCATCTCCTTTAGCAATGGCTTTGCATCTTTTGTGTCTGCCGGTAACTGACGGATTTTTAGTCTTAGGTTGTATCGTGATGGAGCCTTGATGAGCTCTTGTAATCGAATGAGACCTTAAAGAGAACAGGCGCCAGGAAAATGATCAAAACAAGAACCTGAACTGCTAGCAGGAGAACATACTACAAGCATTCAAAGCTTCTGCCACAAAATTCAAAGATTTTTTTTCCCTTCTCATTTGGTTGGAACTGATACAGAAAAATGTTATTAAAAAGAAATATTAAGAAGCATCTGTACTCCCAACACTTTAGTACAAGTCTCTTTTCCCTTAATATTAATGGAGAGTAAGTAGCCTCATTTCGGATTACCTTAAGACAGACAAATCTTCCTCTAGCATTATCGTGCAACTGTGACATTCCTCTTCGAAGAACATATTACTCTAATTCAATTAAAGCCATATCCCAGACTAATAGTTTTTAATCAGACTAGACAGTCTCCCAAATAATAAATCAAGTTTACATACAAAGTTGTGAATCATTTCAGCACTGTAGAACACTCTCACATGAATCTGTTCTCATATTTCTATACTGAATCACTTTTCAAGAACAGCAAGAAACAGAAGTAGTTTTATACTATTCTGCCAGTTTTGCAATTAAAACCACTCCAGAACAAAACTTACTATGCTTTTGGAAGTGACTTTGAAATTAATTTGATTGTATGAAACATTACAGTGATTCATGATGTTCAAGTTTTCTGTATAAGTACTGAGTATTTTTAATATATCAAATGTTAAAGGGAAGACTAACTGTTCTTCCTTGACTGCAAACTGCTCTTTCAAAGCATTCTTTACTCAAAAGGTCAGAGTCCCTAATATGCATATTTTACACATATTTTCAGGTGTTACACCAATCACCTTTGTTACACCTCGGGAGATGAGATGGACAGTTAAGCTCTCAAGAAACTCTGAAATAGGATATAAAGAAAGGGAAAAGAAATGTTGCTTTTTTTTCTGTAGCAAATTCAGATTACAAAATTTTGGTAAACAAATGTCTGACAATACAAATTGACAGGTCCCTTGATCTATCCCCATTGGTTGCACCAATACAATACAGTTTTGGTCTTTTACTGTAGGTCCAAGATTTGTTACACAGCGGCAATAAATGTTTTCTTGCATACAGGAGGTTTTGAAGTAAATGTTTTCCAATACCCTAATAAATTAAGCATATAGTTTAATTAGTCTGAGAATCACAGAATATTCTGAGTTGAAAGGAACCTGCAAAGACCATCAAGTCCAGCTCTTAACTGAATGACCAATACAGGTGTTGAACCCACAACCTCGATCCTGTTAGGTCTATGCTCTAACCGTGATAACCTCAAGAAATGACAGTGCATGAAACCCAAGGATTTCAAAACTTCTAAGCTTTGCTCTGTTCCAGAGAATTACCCAAGAACATAAGTCCTTAAAGGTCCTAACTGGGCTGTTCAAGAATTAAAAAAAAAAAAAAAAAATAAAATAAAAAAAATTTTAAAAAAATTAATCTTCATAAATCTTATCATTATTGGACTACCTCAGAGAAAGAAAAAATCACACCAAAATTTGAAATAGGAGATTTTACAGATGCAAGAGCTAGAGCAATTAAAGGCTGACAAGGAGAATGCTATGATAGTGTCTGCCATCTGGGTTACCTATATGTCTGATAGAGAAGTGATGAGCAATAACCCAAGGAAGGCAGTAATTTTGTACCGCATTGGAAGGCAGTACAAAAGGTAGAAAGCTACCAAAGAAACTTGAGTGTGAGAATGTGGGGAAGAAAACCTGCAAATGCATATTTCTTCAATGCACTGTCTGGACTTCAGTGCTGGGGCAGTACAGATGTGCAGGCAGGCACATGAAGTATTTATGCCTTCAATAACTGTCAATTACAAATAGTAACCAGTGAGATTTCTCAAAATATATTTTAAGAAAAATTAAATCTAAGACATAACCAAATTCCAGGGTTTTCAAAGCTATGTTTTTTCTCCTGTCCTTATCAATGTGAAATAAAAAGAAACCTTAAACTTTTAATGTGTAATATTTTTCATAGCTTCCACATGCAGCAGAATATTTAAATTTAGTACCAGTTAGAATGAGTACATACTTCCATTTTTAAGATTTTAACATATATATTTTCACCATGTTTCCAGCCAGCAGTAAAGTTGTAAAGTTGAGATGGATTATGGCAGGGAACAAAACATGTTCCACTCTACTAAATGACTCACTTCAGTGGTCCACTTGGCCACCCACTATAAGGAATAAATTCTTTACTGGCATATGTTCAACAGTTTCCAGCTTGCTGGGCTCTCAACAGGATGATTTTGGAAAACAAAACCCCCTCACTTGCAAGGAAGTGACGACATGAAACTCTGTGGAGAGTGCACGGTGCAGGGTGCTGCCGTAAAGGTGTGTCATGGGTGGCAAGTACCACTGCCACAGTTACCCTACAGCTCCTTGCTGCAGAGAAATACCTCACAGAACAAAAAAAAAAAAAAAATCAGACAGTCCTGAGCATACCTTACTCTGGTACTTTTTATTTCTGTGGAAAAATGTTGAGAAGCAGGATTTCCCCATTCAGGCATTAGTGGGAACTGAGATCAGTGGGAACTGATTCCAGTTCTGGATCACACTTCAAAAGCTGGCTCTTTTAAACACTAATTAAAGGCTAGAGGTTTCCTTCTACACTGTATCTACCATTTGGCATGTAGCATTTGTGTTTTTAAAAGTGTGAAAAGAATAAATTAGTTTTACTGAAAAGTAAAACCCACCAAAATAATTTTCTGAAGCATACAATAATTTATCTAAAAACATAGAAAAATACCACCACACACAAACAAAACCTTTTCTAGATTAAATATTGAACACTGGGTCATTATGTGTAACCAAATTAAAAATTAAGCACTGTAAAGATATAAACCAAAAGGACAAGGTCCTGAATGTAAACTGCAGCCCTTGGGTTCATCTATGGACAATAACTCCTTCCCAAGGCCTGGCTGCCGCTGATCTTCTCTTCTCCTAAATTCCTTCTTTTAGCCTAACATCCTGGCTTCTGCCAGAGTAGTTTCTGCAGTAGCAATGGCCAAAAAAGTTCCAGAACATTAAGGAGTTGAGGGCTAGCCAGGCAATACATGTAGGATATAAATAAATTGTGCCCTTAGCTTTATAGTAACAATCTGTTTGGAGTTCAATTTTTTGCAGCTATCAGATATCATATGTTAAAGGCTTTTTACAGTAAAATTAATGCCTCAGAGTAACAAAAAATGAACTCTAGCTTATTTAGTCTCTTTAACATTTAGTCATGACTACATCAGGTGAAATCAGACAAATTATTGTTTGCTTTCATTTTTAGATGTTACCAAAATTTGTTTTATTTTTTTAACTTTCTCCATTTGAATTATTGAGATTCCTAAGACTCAAAGAAGATTGCTTGTTCCTACTACGTGCAGTTTTTCAATTTCTACCTTTCTACCCTTCTACCCTTTGTGCATATTGGTCGTTTCAGGTCAAACAAACATATTTACACATTGACTAAGATTCTTGAGCTACTGATAATACCAAAGTTTCATTGCTGTTGTCCAACATCAGAGGAAATGTCATAAGAAGCTGGTTATGCAGAAAAAAAGTAACAAGCTGTCGTGTACTGAGAAATAAAAGTTTCTGAATCAGTAAGGGACAATTTCAAAAGGACACATATGTAGCTTATCAGAAGAAAAGGTATCAGAACTTCCAATGAAGGGAGGAGTATAATTCAAGAACTACAAGGACTATGATGCTAAAAACAAGACAAGTCCTTTCTTCAGCATGATTTTGAAGAGATCTAGAATATTTTTAATTGAACACTTGTGTAGAATAATTTTTAAATAATTGATTTAAAGTATAATATGAATTGAAGTCCTCAGATGAAAAGGTGACCTCTTATTTTACTAGTAATTATAAGACCCAAGTGTAATGAAAAAAACCAAAAGAAACCCCAAAAAACAAACAAACAAACAAAAAAAAAAACCCACAAGAAAAACAAAACAAAAACAAATTTAAAAACCCAAAACAAACAGAATACAACCATTTGTGTGTATAAGCCCCTAAAAAAAAGCTATTTTACAACAGTATAGAAATAATAGTTGCATTTTGGGAATGTACTTCCTGCATTTTCTTTCACCAGGGACACCTTTTTCCTGTCCCTTCAAACTCTCAATTCCTTCTTTTAGCAGCCACTGTGATAGAGTCCTACCTCTGAATGGCTGGGAAGAGTGCGGTGTGAGTAACTCTTTTCAGAAGCTGCCATCAATTCATCGTTAAGGAGAGTCCTGAAGGAGCAGTTTGTGAGCTCTCCAGCTGGCATCTTCCTCCAAAGAGATCAATCACATTACCTCCTCGACATGTTCAACTTCAACCAGTCCAGGAAGCAAGAACCCCAAGTTTGTTTTAAAACCTGTCTCCAGCTCAGCAGTCTTGCAGGCCATTGCTACGCCACCTGGCCTGCTCATCAAACTATTTATCATTTCCATTAATGCTGCCTTTGTGCTGCACAGGAAGAATGCAAGCAAATGCACTTTGCAATAGGCTGAACACATCAACCTTTTTCTGTAAGAAAACACTAATGCTCTTTTAAAGGCTACTCCTTATCTTAACCATGTCAAAATTTTCAAAATTAATATATACTGCTTTGCAGAACCACCAGAAAGCAGTCTTTTCTATTTTCAGCAAGTTGTTTCTTCTCACACTTCTCTGCACTCTTCTCCTTCCCTGACAGCCCCCTGCTCAGTTATTTTGGTTATGTTTCAGAAAATCTCGTTGTGTATTTGGCTTTGAAAGGGGTATGGGTAGAAGGGAGGAGAATGCTGGTTTATTAGCATTGATAGAATGTTTCACATCAACTGGAACAGTTAATTGCTGCAAAATGACTCGTACAGATTACCCATGAACTCTAAAGTTTAGTTTTATCATCTTCAGCTAAAAAAAAAAAAAAAAAAAAAAACCCAAAAAAAACCCCACCAAAAACAAAACCTCTAGTGAAAGGATTAAAAAGAAATAGCACTAGCTGGTAGGGATTTCTCTAACAGTGGGCTGTTCTGTGTTGTTTGT